CTTGCTCTTCAAACAACCAACAGGGAAATATTATGCAGAGCATATTAATTATAAGCAATGTAAGATACTAAATGTCCCCTTAAGATTTATTATATGGAGAAACGTATGAATATAGACAAGCTTTTAAAAAATTATACCTTCCGTCATAAAATCACAATCACCCCTATCGGTTCAATGCGAAAGGTCATGTCATTTTTCTGCAGAGTCTCTGATACTTTTCTCGGTCAATGGAACACAACCCCAGCCGCCCCAAGTGACAACCAGTAGTGATTGAGACCTTTTACCAAAGAAAAAAACTTAAAACGTTTCTTATGGATTTTTTTTGTCCTTTTCATTGTTTTTCCAAGTTTCTATTAAGAAATGTCCAATTTTTAAAACTCTAAATTCTACCAAGAAATAACCTCGCCACTACATTCCCCCGAAATAGAACTGCTATGCCCTCCATACTCCTAAGTCCTAACTCATCATAAATTGACATTCCCCTATTGCTTGTGATGAATATTGTGAGCTTCCTCGACTAATCCAAAATCATTTCTAAATGAGCAGGCAATAGTCACCTTTTAGTGCACAATCAACATGGCACGAAAATGCAAACCTCCATACAATTTACCAGCAGTTTGCAATCCAATTTTTTTATTTGTAGCTTCCGGGCCCTGGGCATATGAATATTAGGGAAATTTAGTAACCTAAGAAAAAATGAGCACTGAGGTTCACAGAAAAGCCCCGCCACAGTGGCCTTAATGCCATAGAATCCTTTTGCTTTTTTAATAGCTCGTCTCTAACTCGCTTGATCTACATTTCTCGTTCTAGTAATAAGAAAATATAGAAAAAGAGTGACTAATTGGAAAGATAAATTTGTTTTGTGTCATTGCGCTTGATCAGCTAGCCTTTTTAGGAAAGTGGATCATGATACAATAACAGTTTACCAATTCAGGTCCAGTAGAGCATTGGCGAAAGCATAATAACATAATAAAATAATGAAGTTTGTTTCCTAGTTGTGGAAGATAAAGCATTTAACTGCACAATAAGCGTGTTAAAGTTGGAAGAGAAATCCAATTGCATTACTGATCAATTTTGACCGGGAACTTTGGAAATTTGACAAACATCATTATATTTTTTATGATCAAAATCTCATTTTCTATTTTGACTTGACCGTGCAACTAGATCAATGCAAGCTTCATTAGGGTCAAAAGATCAATACAAACACTCATTTGAACACTAATACTACTAAGCAGTATTAGTAGTATGATGATAATACTATTTATCATCATCATCATCGTCAAAGTCTTTTCCCAACTAATTGTGTCGGCTAAAGATTCATCATAAATTTTAGCAAAGTTTTACGTTTGCTATTTACTTAGCACAACCCAACTCCTTTACCTAACACAACCCCATTGCTTTTTACTCTGGCTAAAGGAAAAGAACAACTTTGATCCCAAATTGGTCCATTCCAAATGGGGCTTTCAAAAGTAGTTGGGGATATTGTAGCTATTCCAAAGGAAAACAAGGAGAGAGTTTTGACTTTTGAAAGAAAGCACGAGCTTGGGCCCTGTTTTTATTCACCCAGTGTTTTAAAACCGAGATTAGTGGGATGGAGAGATCTGTATGGGATCTTTGGATTGGTGATCTGGATTGAGTCTGGATCTATTCGAAACGATGATCTAAAATATATTAAAAATAATAAAATAAAATCAATATAAATTAGGGGTTTATGGTATGAGGATCTACGGGGGCCTCAGAAACATTAGATACACTTCAAAAGGAAAATAAAATAAATATAAAACAAGGGTAGTTTTAAGGGAACCATGTTGGGACCCTTACCATCCCAGAACCGATTCGGTCCTAATCAATTTCCATTTAGATTCAACATTCTAGATCAGAAATTCACGTATACTATACTTCCTCGAGAGCATAGTTTACTTCTACCTATGTGGGAGGCTTTTTTAAGCTGAAATTTTGGGAAATAATTGAAAATTACTAAATTATTATTCTCAAAAAAACAAAAAATTGAAATTTGAGTTTTCTAACACTCAGATCTTACCATCTAAAAAATAGATGGCCTCCCTTCAATCTCGACACATTATTTTTTCGAAGTGTAGAAAGAATACAATTAGAAAATTTCTAGATTAATTTATGGATCGTCGAAGTTGTATCCCTAAAACTTTGGGGCCCTACAACCAATTCTTGCTTAGTGTTACCGGAGAGAGTGATGGACATTATACTCCCACTAGAGTAAAATGTCTTTTGGCATAATTGGCAATCCATTGTCAGGTGTTAAATTTAAATATTCAAGAACTCAAAATCCAAATTCTCTTGCATTATAAATATCATCTGTAAATATCCCAAGGTTTCTTGTTGATCCTTGCACTTTTGCCCGGAGGAGTAATCGTACAATAAGATCCTGCGGGAGTGCCGTTGTTTTTGTCTCTCATTGTGGGTTAGGGTTTCTCCATTGAGGCCTATAAAATCCCTCAAGTTGGGAGAAAACCGATTATGTAAGGGATAGGGTTTTTATGTTCCTCCATTAAAATCGCCCCCTCTCTCTCTCTC